AGGACCTGCAGCATGCACTGGGACGGTTTGCAGCCGAGTGTGAAGCGGCTGGGATGAGAATCAGCACCTCCAAATCCGAGGCCATGGTGCTCGACCGGAAAAAGGTGCCTTGCCCTCTTCAGGTGGGTGGAGAGGTCCTTCCTCAAGTGGAGGAGTTCAAGTATCTCGGGGTCTTGTTCACGAGTGAGGGAAGAATGGAGCGTGAGATTGACAGGCGGATCGGTGCAGCGTGCGCAGTGATGCGGTCGCTGTATCGGACCGTTGTGGTAAAGAGGGAGCCGAAAGGCAAAGCTCTCGATTTACCGGTCAATCTTCGTTCCCTCCCTCACCTATGGTCATGAGCTTTGGGTAATGACCGAAAGAACGAGATCGCGGATACAAGCGGTCGAAATGAGCTTTCTCCGCAGAGTGGCTGGGCGCTCCCTTAGAGATAGGGTGAGGAGCTCAGTCACACGGGAGGAGCTCGGAGTAGAGGCGCTGCTTCTCCACGTCGAGAGGAACCAGTTGAGGTGGCTCGGGCATCTGTTCCGGATGCCTCCTGGACGCCTCCCTGGGGAGGTGTTCCGGGCACGTCCCACCGGGAGGAGGCCCCGCGGAAGACCCAGGACACGCTGGAGGGACTATGTCTCTCAGCTGGTCTGGGAACGCCTTGGGGTCCCCTGGACGAGCTGGAGGAAGTGTGTGTGGATAGGGAAGTCTGGGCGTCTCTGCTTAGACTGCTGCCCCCGCGACCCGGCAACGGATAAAGCGGAAGAAAATGGATGGATGGATGGTTTGACAGCACTAGTAAAAATGTATTTGATTCACACCCTTTCATTTGCATAAAGGCATCGGCCTGTCTCACTTTTGCTTTTTTCCGTGCTGCATTATTACTCAACTTGTTTTTGGGTGGTGTTGGTGTTAATCTCATACGACTCTAACCTATTTCCTCTAAAACACCTGCCTAATAAAATGCACTGTTCGTCTTTTATTGAAAGACGAACAGTGCCTCTCGCTGTTCGTCTTTCAATAAAGAAATCAGAGATTCTGCTAAAACTGACTTGATATCCTCGGCTACGCATCCGTCGTGCTGGGTAGCCATGTTTGTTTTGTCTCGGTTCGGCACTGCTTCGTCAAACCCTGATATCCCGCTCTAAACTTCAAGACTGGCCCATGATTGGGTAAAACACCTACATGTACTACTCAAAAAGATTAAGCGGTACTGGATGTAGGCCAGGCAAGGTTAGTGTAATGTGACAAAATGTACAAAAGTTGATGTTGTGTTATTGGTAGAGATGTACCGAATCCAGGTTTTTGGGGTTCGGCCGAATACCGAATCCACTGGTTAAGATTCTGCCGAATCCGAACCCGAATACCGAATCCTATTCCATCCTCAGTCCATTGATGTTTTATACGCAAATGTTTTAACAGCGGCGGTGTTGTGTACTGTTTAGGGTCCTTACCACCACTAGACAAATCGGCATTGCAAATTGGACATGTAGCTCGACCAGAATCTATTATTATATTATTATATATTATTATTTATAATAATCCCGCTTATCATTAAACACAAATACATTCAGTTCACAGCAGTGTAAAGCTTCAGAGATAAAGTACATATATTACTGTGCATGTCATGTAGAAATAAGAGCTAAAGCACCATACATGCATAAATAGCTTCCACTGGTTTAGGTCAAAACATTACATATATGGACATTTGAGAAATATGCCAAACTCGTAGAGACAAGTTGAGAGAAGCTAATGCTAAGAGGCTAGATGCCTAAACATGGACTCACCAACTCTGCTTCTACGGTCATACGCAGCTCAGATGACAATTACCTGGCACTGGTAATCGGCTCCATAAAGTTGGTGTATAGGCAGTTAGTTTATGATCCCATCAGAACCACATTACAGGTGAAAACAAGAATCATAACATCCCCTCGCACCGACGTATAACTAGAGCTAATTGGTCCGCGGGGATCACATGACCAGGAAGAGACCTCAGCGCACCCAAAGAGGAACAGAGAGCAAAAGGATATAAACCTCCGCTAAAGTGCATGTTTATTTACACTTCCGAACTAATCTGATTTCCGTGATGAATCCAACAGCCACAGCGCGCATAGTGTAAGTGCAGGGTTTGGGTTCGGTGGGGAAAAATTCTAAGGTTCGGCCGAATCCGAACTCGAATCCTGGATTCGGTACATCCCTAGTTATTGGTTTTGCAAACCACTGTATTTGGAAATGTCACCTCAACAGCAACTAATGGGATACACTAAACAAATGTGAGTGCATTTTGTTATTCAAATCTGTTTCAGACAAATAAAGTACAAAACAAGACAGGAATGTTTGCTTGCACTATCACTCAGCAGTCTCTGGAGCGCTGATGAAAATGGAATGACTTTTCCTCTCATGCGACCAAAACAATATACAACTGATAGACATTAGGCAGAGTGGCAGACCAGGACAAAGCTCAAATAAGCAGAGGCAAAGGATGGTGATTGTTTTTTTTCAAAATTTGTGTCACACTTTATACATCGCTGCCAAATACCGTGCAGTCCATACATTCATTCTCTTCCCCTTAATTCATTGCTGGATCAGGGGTGGCAGTCAGAGCTGCACCCAATTCACAGCCCCTCCCTGATCCTCCTGCAGGTGGTGAGTCCACAGGGGCCTTGACCTTTCAATGGGGGCTTCAGTCAAAGTTAGGTTAAGTGTCTTGCTCAAGGACACAACAACAGCAGATTTCAGTGGCAATCATGAAGTAGGGAATTGTGTCTCATAGTGGGCTTGAACCTATGAGCTTCAGGCCCGAAGGCCTATGCTTTACCAACTGAGCCAACTGTTCAGTCAGTTTGTGAAGTTATGGTCCCAAACGGCTCATTAGTGGTTGGCCTGTGAGATGTAAGATGGACAGAGTAGCAGAGACCGGGAAGGAATACCAGACTGGATACTGGATGGAAGTCTTTATGTTGAACACATGGATACAGGCTTTGAGATTGCTCAAACTAAGTTGTATCACTGAAATTTAGTGGACAAATTCAGTCATTGCAGCTCCTGAAACAGCTATTAATAATAATGACAATTTCACCATGAAGCATAAATGTTTGGCTATTGTTCAATAGGTAACTAAACGAATTTCAGCCTTTATCTGACTGACAGGTGTATGTTTGACAGGATTCTGTAACTTTGCTTGCCACATTTTAGATTCTGTAGTGAAGCTGAATTTATTGTAGAGTAGCTTGTAGCTTAGCTCACTATAATCAAGTAGCTTGGCCTTCACTGAGAGATATTCGGCAAAACTCAGCATTCCATGAAAAACACGATTTTGGGAGTGGTTTTTATCCAAGCAACCAATGATTTAAGAAGGAAAACCTTATAAATTATTATGGGTGCCCAAACTTTTTCATACTACTGTAGGTCAATAGGTGCCAAATCAAGTTGGAGCCAAATCAAGTTGGGGCAAAAAAGAGCAAAATTGTTCCACATTGCGGTTCCTGGAGCTGGGGGTTAAAATTGTCAATCAATAAACAGTCTATTAATGAGCAGGAAACAACATTATGTGCTAATACTGAAATGAGTCAATTTTGCACTAAAAGATAATAAAAAGGCTAAAATGTCACAAAAACAGTTATAATAAAAGAGCACGAGGAATAACAGACAGATTGTGTTGTTTCATGTTCCTCTAGTTTGATAAAACAGTGTCTCAGATTATGTCCACTAGATGGCGTCTGTGTGAGAGGAGCTACCTGCTGGCCTCACCGCCTCTGTCTCAGGGAAGGGGGTAATGATGTCACAATTTATATATTTATTTCTTTCGATATTTGATAGGACGAGTGCACCTTCATGAACACACAGGAGTCTGCCGGTTATACAATTAGATTATTTTTTTTATATAAATAAGACATTCGTTAATGTTTTATTAACTAGTAGTCAATGATTTATAAATGATTTATAAGCAAACAGTATTATAAAGTGTTACCAATATATTTAGATTGTGTGGATGAAAGAAAAGAGACAGAGAGGATGAGTTTCATACTGACTGTTTTATTATTCAAAATAAATGTTTAAGCAATAGATCCATTCAAACTTACAATTTGTGAATTTAAGGTCACTAAAGCTTTTCATTGTGAGAGAGAGAGAGAGAGAGAGAGAGAGAGAGAGGTAATAATTGCTAGAATCAAGTGATTTTTATCTGAGTACATAATTATAATTTGAGTAAAGTACAGACCAAAAGTTTGGACACAGCTTCTGATTCTTCTGCAGATTCACACTGAAGGCATCAAAACTATGAATTAATTATGTTTTTTGCACTGATTTCTGCTTCAAACACTCTTGGCATTCTCTTGATGAGCTTCAAGAGGTAGTGACCTGAAATGGTCTTCCAACAGTCTTGAAGGAGTTCCCAGAGAAGCTTAGCACTTGTTGGCCCTTTCGCCTTCACTCTGTGGTCCAGCTCACCCCAAAACGATCTGGAGTGGGTTCAGGTCCGATGACTGTGGAGACCAGGTGTTGGGTCATCTGGCCCAGCACCCATCAATCTCCTTAAATACCCCTTACACAGCCTGGGTGTGAATCTACAGTCAATAGTCATGAAAAGAAAGAACACTCATTGAATGAGAAAGTGTGTACTGTATATTCTGACTGCAGTCAATGGTTGCCAAGGGGACAAAGCCATTAAGTCTTATTTCAAGAACTGTGGCTTCATTTCTTAATTCTCAGAGACACATTTTTTGTATCTTTTAAAAACAAGATCATTTTGCCTGTCCAACTGACAACTCTTGTTTGCAGGCAGTGAAATTGTGCTCAATTTTAGACACATTTGTCAAAATTTGAGCAATTTCTGAATTATTTTTCTTCCCCTTCTGCAGAGTACCTGAATTTCATGTTCAACCCTACAGCTGCAAGTTGTAAACGAACACGCATCTTTAATATATACCTGTATACTGATCAAAGTCTAAGGACTCTAATCACAGTGAGTTTGCAGAGATTTGAGGTGTTTGCAGACAGCAGCAGGCTTTTTCTCATGTGCTCGAGCAGAGTTTTTGGTAAGTCTGGTCTGTGGACTCAGGACGTGGAGTGTTTTGGTACATAGAAATCTGCAACCAAAAGTTCAACATGACTCTTCTTGGTAAAGTGGATGTGTCAGTGGCTAATCGGAACTCACCCCTGCGCCTGGACCCGATGCCCCGCCTGCGAGCTCTCCATCTATTCAACACCAACAAGTTTAGAATTAAGAAGTTTCTCCCCTCTCTGCTTCTTAGAAATACAACAATTCTAATTCTAAGAAGCAGAAATGTTGGTGAAAGGCCGGCTTCCAATTCATTCGTTTTTTAAAGTGGCTTTGAACCGGTTAACACAAGGGCGCCCCAAATTCTGAAACTACTAGAACTAATTGAGTCATTTTGACGGTTCTCATTCAAATCAAAATAATTCTGAAAAAATCTCAAAAAATGGAGTGAGTTTTCTACCAGTTCCCACGTACTAGTTTTATAAGTATTAGTATCTATTAGTACATTTTCCATTAAAAAGATAATAAAAAGGCTATCTATAATGTCACAAAAACACAAAGAATACAGAGTAATTCCTTAATATGCCAAAGTTAGAGGTTTTATACTTCTTTAGGATGTGAAAGTTAGAGATTTTGTGCTTAATTCTTGCTTCTTCATTATGCTAACGTTGGAGATTTTATATGTGCTTCCTTTTTATGCTAAAGATAGAAATTATAGTTCATTTATCTTGTGCTGTGTGCTTCTCATTCCTACTGTTCTGTAACCGGTGATGCAACACTGAAATGACCCCACTGTGGGACAAATAAAGAATCTCTTATTCTTAGTTATAAGCTAAGAAAAAGAGATTCTTTATGCCGTCATTTTTGACTTTACTAAAGCAACTGTGTGAAGTCCTTTGAGATAACTACTGTGTGATTTAGGGCTATACAAGAATACATAGAATAGAATTGAATTGAAAAACAAATGTCTGACTTTGAAAATACGTCTTCTAAAGCAGAGTTTTTTAACCAGTGGTGTACCTTGGAAATGAGCCAATATTAAGGGGTTGGTTGCACATCGATATCAAATTCAGTTGGAAGTGTGCCATGTGATCACTTTCAGAAAAATGGTTGGGGAACACTGTTCTAAATTACGTGGAGGTTGACCATCCACGTTGGAGAAATGTAGCCTTGTGAATTTCGGTTGAACCTGAGAGTTTTCGGTCAGTGTGGAGATGCCTTTGTGTTATCCTCGACAGCGATGGAAAAACACCCTATATATTTGTTCTTACTTTTTGAATTTTGATGACTTTCTCTACAGCTTGAGCTGCCCTGGCTCATATTGACCCTTTTAGAACATAATTGAGGGTATTTTTATTCTGCTTTTCACTGTGGCAGGAGGATTGCACAAGAGTTAAGGTCATGTGACTGTGTTTTTCTAATTTAATTTCTCCTACCTTTGTTTGACTTCTTCCTGTAGAACCTCAGAAAGAAAACTGCGGCGATGATGGCAGGAATCAGAAGCAAGGTAAAAAGATGAAAATATTCTGGGGGGAAAGTTGAAATCAATTAAACATTTAGCATCATTCTAAAGAAGAAGTAAAAACTTTCCGTCACACTTTAGACTAGTCCTTACTCCTAATTAACAGCTCTTAATTTTTCAACATCTCTCATCACTGAGGATGCCACACCCGCTGTATGGCTCCTTATCTCTGCTGCCATCAGCAAGGAGATACAGTACAGAACCCCGCTGGCCCAAAAAAACATCTACAAGAGATCATTTGTCCCGTCTGCAGTCACTGCTCTAAACAACCGGTAGCACTGCATAAATTATGAACTGTTTGCTAAATGTATTTTAAGTGTGTTTTATGAATGATTCTGAATTGTGCCGTGTTGAAAGACAAATCTCTGCTCAATTTGATCAGACAATAAAGATCTATTCTATTCTATTTTATCCTATCTAACTAACTGCTAACTTTCCCATGTGGGTTAGAGTTAGGGTACACAAATGAAAAGTGAGGGCTGATCTAAAGTGTCAGCAAACTTTCTTGCACTGAATAAACAAGGTAGACTGTGTTGCTCTATCTCTAATATCTTTCTCAAGACTTTATTTAAGGCTCTTTCATACTCCACATACAGATATACTTCAGTCCGTCATGTGCAAATCTCATTTATGGACATTGGTCATCTGCATCTTTTGCACCTATGGCCCTTTGTGTTTATGTATCATGGCTTCTCCTGTGTTTAAACTGTTGGATTATGTTATGATAGATGTACTGGGAAACATTTATTTGCCATATATGTCATATCATATATAGCCCCCCTGACAATCCGATTGGTCCAGTGCGATTCTGTTCAGTGTTTAATGTGTGTAGATTACAAGGTAAAGCTTTGGTTCTCACCGTATGAAGCTGGTGGCTCTAGAGTAGACTTCACGTCCATAGGCTTCGCTGGAAAAGTAAAAGAACGGTGTCATAACTCTTTATTGTGATTCAAAAAGGCAATGCTTCTTTTCTTATTTAAATTATTCTTGTTTCAGAGAAGGAAGTGTGCAATGCATTTGTGTAAATTTACAGCATACAGTGGTCCTTGGTTTCTCTGGGGGGCTACAAAAAATGTAATCCAAAATCTGTGAAGAAGCAGCTCTATGTTTTTAGGTTGTAAAACCCTCACACACTCTTCATACACTTTTCTAACCATCTGAACTCACCATTGCTGTAGGGAGAGAGACCAGAGATATCAAACCTGTTGGTTGTAAGTCTGAGCGCTGCTGCAGCTGTCAAAAGACCATAAGGCTAATCTGATACTTTCTCTTCTTTTCTTTTATACTATAGTTTAGTTTATTTATTTAAAAGGGACCATGTACAATTATAACATAAATGTTGCCATTTGATGCATTGTACCAGAGTTAGCCTGAGGCTAATTTACATCTGCAGTCCCTGTTTTGCAGACACTGTTATTTTGCAGACACTGAGATTAAACTCATAATTAAAGTCATGGGCTGTAGTAAAAATGTGCTGTGGCACCCTTAAGATATATCCAGCAGTCTCGAAGTAAACAGAACAGAGTTTATTGAAGCCGAGATATGTTTCTTTAGACCAATAAAACGTTTAGGTTGTGTTTATGAATCTTGTGTTAAAGCTACAGTGTGTGCAACATTGTAAATAAATAGCGTCTTTGACAACTTTGTGCTCTGACAAAAGCGTCTCATAAATTCATAAATTTCATATATTATTTAACCAGTTTTATTTCAGGCTATAGAAATAATTAAACAAACACTTTTCCTTATATATTCTATGACCGTGTCCAAGTCCAAGATGGAGGCACCGCGGCTCGGTTATTGTTGCAATGGGTTTTTGAGTTTTGTGTTGAGATTTGCCTCTTAGTACTTCTGCTGTATACTCTTCTTAGTGTGAATCATAAAAGAAGAACACAAGTAATGCAGAATGTTAATCAAACTCACAATTGACGAGGATGTCAACACTATATTCCCCAAACACCCACAGCCTCGGCACTCTCTCCAGTCGGCACGTGTATCGCCCTGAATCGCCGAGGTTGACGTTTCGGATGGTCACGGTCATCATCAGAAGGGTTGAGACAGAGAGACTGTATCTGCTGTATGTGCACTGCTGCCAGTCGTCTCCAGCAGAGTTTAATTAAGATTCTTTATCAGGTACTTGCGGGTGAACAGTGGTGAACCCCAGTAAAAATAACAATAAAAGTCGATGTCGTCCCCTTCATGAGCGATGAGGACGCCTTCTTCTCCCATCGCCACTGGTCAAACCAAAGAGAAAGAGTTGGTTCAGAGAGCTCAGCATTAATCACACAAAATCAACCAAATTTGGCAGCCCAATAATAAGAATAATATATTGTACTTATATAGCACCATTTTGGACATGCTTTACACAAGAACAAAAAGGAAAAAAAATTAAATCTAAAATAAACAGTTAAGAAAAGGCAGTTTTGAACAGTTCTTTTCAGTCTTTCAGTATTATAAATGAGTCCAATGTGCAAGTTCAAGGCTCGGTCCTCAGGGTTCAAGAAGGCGTGGTCCTCAGGGTTCAAGAAGGCATGGTCCTCAGGGTTCAAGAAGGCATGGTCTTCAGGGTTCAAGAAGGCTCGGTCCTCAGGGTTCAAGAAGGCGTGGTCCTCAGGGTTCAAGAAGGCACGGTCCTCAGAGTTCAAGAAGGCATGGTCTTCAGGGTTCAAGAAGGCTTGGTCCTCAGGGTTCAAGAAGGCACAGTCCTCAAGGTTCAAGAAGGCGCGCGTGGTCTTCAAGGTTCAAGAAGGCACGTGCGGTCTTCAAGGTTCAAGAAGGCACGTGCGCTCTTCAGGGTTCAAGAAGGCGCGGTCTTCAAGGTTCAAGAAGGCACGTGCGGTCTTCAGGGTTCAAGAAGGCGCGGTCTTCAAGGTTCAAGAAGGCACGTGCGGTCTTCAGGGTTCAAGAAGGCATGGTCTTCAGGGTTCAAGAAGGCTCGGTCCTCAGGGTTCAAGAAGGCGCGCGTGGTCTTCAGGGTTCAAGAAGGCACGTGCGGTCTTCAAGGTTCAAGAAGGCGCGGTCTTCAAGGTTCAAGAAGGCATGTGCGGTCTTCAGGGTTCAAGAAGGCATGGTCTTCAGGGTTCAAGAAGGCTCGGTCCTCAGGGTTCAAGAAGGCGCGCGTGGTCTTCAGGGTTCAAGAAGGCACGTGCGGTCTTCAAGGTTCAAGAAGGCACGTGCGCTCTTCAGGGTTCAAGAAGGCACGGCCCTCAGGGTTCAAGAAGGCGCGGTCCTCAGGGTTCAAGAAAACGCTGGTCCTTAGGGTTAGGCTTGATTCTCAGAGTTTGGCACTTTGTCCAGGACACCTGTGGACTCACCACCTGCAGGAGGATCAGTGAATTGGATGCAGCTCTGCCACCCCCTCAACCCAGAAATGGATTAAGGGGAAGAAAATGGATGGATATAATAACAACCCTTTCCTGCTTTTTGTATGTGATTATCAAAAGTTGTATGTTCAAGAATCCTTGTGCTGCTTATGTGAAACAAGTTGTACAAATGTAGAACAAACCTAAAAATACAGGCACGCACAAGAACGATTAACTCAATTCTATACACGATTGACATAACAGTGCAGATTATTGAAAAGTGACAAGGAGTACGATATTATAAAATGACAGAAGTGAGAGTTTTTCCTTGCAGATACAGGAGGGTCCAAGGACAGTGGTAATGATCCAGGACATCAACATTAAACAAAATATTTGGACTTTGAAAATCTATACTGCCCTTTAAGTCAAATCCCAATGTAATACTTACCCAAGAAGAGGATGAAAACTGGACAGATGTTGATCATGACACCCATGTTTCCTCTGCCTTTAAATCCAACAGCTGCACTTTCATAAATAAAGATACAATTTCTTGCTCCCCTCCTTCCCCTTTCTAGGAAACTGTACTGTACTGTAGGAAACTGTTATGATTCACAGGTGAGGAAAGTATTTTTACAACACTACATAAATGGCAATGATAATTTCTGGTGTTGTGACATCCTCCAAAACTCCCCTTTCTTTTGTCCTGCACTTGAGTTGTCTTGTGTATGAACTGTGCCCTACAAACAAATTGCCTTGCCTCTGGACATGGTTTTTAAGCACATTCAAATAAACAGGACATGAAACTCTTGTGTAAATTGATCAAAATCATATTGTCTGAGGTATTTGTTTAGCAAAGTTTGTCTTGTTTTATTGCGTACTCCTGGCTCTGTTTTATTTTATTACTTTTAATGTTACTATAATAATAAAAGGTTAGATGTATTGAACCTGTGTTTTACATTTATGGTAAACGACCATCAAAGCACCAAAGCAACGGCACCAGTATAAATCTATACATCTATAAAAAGGCCGTAATCTTTGGACAAGGAGACGTCAGGAGAAACACTTCTACGCAGTCAGGTCAGTCTTCTATTATCTAGTTTTCAATTCATTTCTTGTTTTTTTTTGCACAGCCCTAAATCACAACTGCTGTTGACTCAAAGTTGTCGATTTGCAAACTGTTTGATTCTCTGATTCAGTTTAGAGAATCAAACGGGTCGAACTCAGGAAATTCAATAATAACAAACACATAGGAGCAGTTGGTTCACAGGTAGTGGGAGGATCATGATATATGAGTTGTATAATAAATAGATAATAACATATAGCCCCGTGAGGTGGGAACATGATTCTAATTTTCTTAAATGCAAGACGTGCAGACAACTCCTGCACGTCTAACACAAGGTTCTACGTCATGGTGCTACGTCCCTTAGCGGACTTCGCTAGTGGGATATCACGTGACCCCCAGGTCACAGACGCCAGAGAGATCAACAAAAAATGGTCCAATCACTAGCGACCCTCCTCTATAAAGGCCCCTGCTCCATAGCCGCGCCCCCTCTTGAACTCTGGCGCCGATTGAGATCTACCACAGTACTTACTTCATTCTGAGATGTCTTCCTGTTCGTCCGAGTTCCCCTTCGCCCTCCGGCGTCGGACATCGTCGCTGGATCCAGACGGTGGAGGACTTCACCTCTGTGGGCGCCACCACTCGAGGGAGGAGGAGGATACAACCCACGTTGTGCCCGCGGATGGACCCGATCGTCCATTACGCGACACGTGAGTGGCCAAAGCCCCTAGCAGCCACGAGGCCTGCTCTGGGGTACGGCACGTACTGCAGCGTGCAGGACTGGTCCTGGACCGGTGGTGTCCCGGACATCGAGGATTCAGTCCGCATGGCACTGCAGCCCTCCGCATCCGTGTGGCCCGGCACCAGACCTCTCCTTCCCTCCGAGCGGGACAGGATGTCTTGGCGATGCTGGATAGATGTTATGCCAATGCGGCACAGGTCGTCGCATTGGCTAACAACATGGCATTCATCACAGGGGCCCTGGATAGGTCGCTCTCCTCTGGCCAGGCGCTCAGTGGAGACCTCCTATCGCAGGCAAGGACCCCCTCGGCGGCGACTCTGCGCATGTGCCAGACGCTAGCCGTGGATGGTGGCCGCTCCATGGCTGCAGCCCAAGTCGGGGCCAGGCACCTTTGGCTTGGGCTGGCTAATATCAGGGAGGCGGAGAAGAGGCAGCTGCTGGACCTGCCCGTCTCCCAGACGTCCCTCTTTGGCCCGGACATGCAGGCCCTGGTGGCGAGACTGGAGTCTGCCGCCAACGACTCGGCTAGGCTAGCCCCGCACCTAGCACCGAGGCGCGAGGCCCACCAACCATCACGGAGCCGGGACAGAGGCAGAGAGCGTTCGCCCGGGAGGCGTCCTGACCCGTATCCGCGCTCTGTTGTCCATCGTCCCCCCTCGACGAGGCCCCCGGGTCCAGACAGACCCACGGGAGGCTCGCGGGAGCAACGCACACACCGCCGGCCTCCCTATGGTAGAGGAGGCCGGGGTGGCAAGTATTCTTTCAATAAAGGCCGACCGGCATTTCATCAGTACTCGTTGTCTGAGTCTCATTTGGGGGTAAGTAACATGTCTAATGTGAAATCTGATTGTGTTACTTCCCGGGCACATAACGTTGCTTCGCTAGGCCTGCAGCCCCCAGAGCAGGGTGTGCAGTGCGCTACGCGAGCTACGAGCTCCGGTCCTCTGATCCATGCTATGCCCTCCCAGAGAGAGGTCAGGCGGAGGGATCTGGTGAGTAGTGATGTGTGTGCTTTGGCCGAACGCGTGTTAGCCCCTCTGAGCTACAAGGCTAACACGGGGTTTCCCACCCCAGGGGCTCGCCCCCCCCTCCATGAGGCAGGAGCCAGGGGGGGGCGCAGCAGTCGAGTCACGTGGTATGAGCAGACCCGTACTTATGACGTCGGGCCTGCAGGACACGTGACCACCCCCGGCGCACACGGTATGACGCAGGGGGCCCCCCTGCCCTTTCGTCCACCCCCCCTCCCTGCTAGGAACACCAGGAGAGGGCGGAGCCGTGACGTCTCGTGTTCCAGCTCCCGTTCCGCCCCTCACAGACTTCTACAGCATCTGGAGGGAGCAGGGTTTGGATGACAGTATATGGCTGGAGAAGACATTGCGCAGGGGTTACGCACTGCAATTCTCCCAAAAGCCACCACCATTCCGAGGCGTACGGGCAGCACGCTCTCAGGTACGGAGATCATTAGTGGCACTACAAGCGGAGGTCTCCTCTCTGCTGAGTCGAGGCGCAGCAGTGGAGGTAGACCCACAGGACGCCACCAGGGGGCTGTACTCCCCTTACTTCTTGGTGCCAAAGAAGTCAGGCGGGGTGCGTCCCATTTTGGATTTGCGCGTTCTGAACGAGTGCATTTCCAAGCGGCAGTTTCGGATGCTGTCCACAAAGCAGCTCCTTGAGTGTGTCAGGCAGGGAGATTGGATGTCCTCCATAGACCTGACAGACGCTTACTTTCACGTGCCGATAGTTCCGGAACACAGGAGGTTCCTGCGCTTCGCAGTGGGAGAGAGGAATTACGAGTACTGCCGTCTCCCCTTCGGCTACGCGCTCGCGCCTCTGACCTTCTCAAAGTGCGTGGAGGCGACACTGGAGCCGCTCAGACGCGCAGGGGTAAGAATATTAACCTACATAGACGATTGGTTAATACTCGCCTCATCCAGGGAAGTGGCCGTGAGTCACACGCACTGGGTTCTGTCCCACATACAGTGCCTGGACTTTGTGGTGAACAGGGAGGAAAGCAGGCTGCAGCCGGCTCAGCGCATGATCTATCTCGGCCTGCAGCTAGACTCTGTGACATTCCGTGCTGCATTGTCCGAGGACAGACGGAGGAACATTACCCGTCTGGCCAGGGAGGTTCTGGCGGGCCCCAGGGTCCCTGCTCGGCGCCTCAGGTCCCTGCTAGGGATGATGGCGGCGGCTCATGCTGTGGTGCGGCTAGGCCTTCTCCTCATGAGGAATTTTCAGAGGTGGTTCTCACGCCTCAGGCTTCACCCCTCCCGGGACGGGGGGAGGCTTATCTGGGTTCCCCAAGTTTTGGCTCACTCCGGGTCTATTGCGGGACGGAGTGACTCTGGCCTGCGCCGTGTCTCACGTGGAGGTGTTCACGGACGCGTCACTCGAGGGTTGGGGCGGGGTCCTCGGCCAGAGCTCTGTAGGAGGCTGCTGGTCGGACTCAGCCCGCCACATCAACCTTCTGGAGATGGAGGCAGTACACAGGGTACTGCTGCACTTTGCTCCTCAGCTGCAGGGGAGACACGTGATGGTGCGCTCAGACAACACCACAGTGGTCTCCTATCTGAACAGGCAGGGGGGCACCAGGTCCCCCGCTCTCCATCGCATGGCGACGGTGACGCTGCTGTGGGCGACGCTTCACCTTCTGTCTCTGAGGGCGCGCCACGTCCCGGGTGTCCGGAACGTGGGGGCCGACAGGATGTCAAGGGGGGGCCCACTCCAGGAGGAGGGGGGCTTGACCCCACGGGTAGCTGCGGAGGTCTGGCGGAGGTTCGGTCGGGGGGGGGGCTGTTTTTTTCACGCCCGATAATCGGCCGCAGGCTCTGGGTTTGGAGGCTGAGAGGCGGAACCTCGTAGACCTGGGTCTTCCCCCGGCGGTGGTGGAGACCATTCAGGGGGCGAGGGCGCCGTCCACTGTGAGGGCCTACGCCACGAGATGGAGGCTCTTCAGCGACTGGTGCGGTTCTCGCTCCTGGGATCCCAGACGTTGCCCGCTGGAGGGAGTCCTGGGATTCCTACAGGAGCTTTTTGACAAAGGGAGGGCTGTCGCCACCTTGGCGGTGTTCGCGGCAGCCATTACCTCGGGTCACGACGGATTTGGGGGGTTCACAGCCCGCTCTCATCCGTTGGTTAAACGTTTTCTGCGGGGGGCGCGCAGGAGGAGGCCCCCGCTTCAGAGAACGCCCCCGGTTTGGGACCTCAGGGTGGTCCTTAGGGGTCTGTCGGGTCCGCCTTTTGAACCGGCGGCAGAGGCGAGTCCCGAGTGTGTTGCTTTAAGACGGCCCTCTTACTGGCGTTGGCGTCTGCTAAGAGGGCGGGCGACTTGTGTGCGCTCTCCGTCCATGCGTCTTGCCTGTCCTTTGGAGAGGGCGACGGCATGGTGGTATTGTGGCCCAATCCGGCTTTTCTCCCTAAGGTCATCACGTCGGCCTTCAGGTCGAGAGTGATCAGGATTAGGGCATTCCATCCGCCGCCGCATGCCTCCCCCGAGGAGGAGCGGCGGCACCTTCTGTGTCCTGTCAGAATGCTTAGGCATTACCTGGCCATGACGTCTTCATTCAGGTTGGTTGATCAGCTGTTTGTGTGTCTGGGCCCCAAGAACAGGGGCGCCCCGCTGTCGGCTCAGCGGCTGGCGCACTGGGTCGCCCCGGCTGTGCGGCGGGCGTATCAGGCTCAGGGTCTGGCCCCCCCGGTGGGTTTCAGGTCGCATTCCACGCGTGGGGTGGCGGCCTCTACGGCCCTCCTCAGGGGGGGCGTCGGTCGAGGACGTGTGCCGTGCGGCTTCTCGGGCGTCGTCCTCTTCTTTCGTCCGGTCTTATCTTTTGGATGTGTCGGACCGGTCGGTGGCCCATTCCGTGCTGAGTGCAGCGGACTGAGTTGAAACCGTTAGGTTCCTCCTCTGAGGGGGCCTTCGGTTGACTTTCCGCCCTGGTTCAGGAACTCTTGGAAGAGACGTCCTGCAGGTGCGATATATGTGTGCTTTTGGTCAGTCAGGTAGTCCACGTCAGGAGCTCTTGGGAGAGGCGTCCTGGGACTACGGGTGACCTACGGTCTGTGTTACTTAGGGGTATCCTCGGGAGGAGTGGCCCTGTAACACGCAATTGCTTCTTCTGCCCTGAGTCCTCTCACTTTGTGAGGGTCTTGCTCGGGCGGAGCTCCAATCACTCTTTGCTGGCCTGCTGGGAGTACATGTTCCTACGGCCTCCGCGTTGTGTCCCACTAGCGAAGTCCACTAAGGGACGTAGCACCATGACGTAGAATTAATAGTTACCTAATGTAACTTAAGTTCTACGAATAGGTGCGTAGTCCCTTAGCTACGAGCCCATCAGGCCAGCCCGGCTTGTCAGAGTTCAAGAGGGGGCGCGGCTATGGAGCAGGGGCCTTTATAGAGGAGGGTCGCTAGTGATTGGAGCATTTTTTGTTGATCTCTCTGGCGTCTGTGACCTGGGGGTCACGTGATATCCCACTAGCGAAGTCCGCTAAGGGTCTACGCACCTATTCGTAGAACTTAAGTTACATTAGGTAACTATTAATTCTTTTAATATGCAAATGAACTCCCACAAAAGACTCCAATATCAAAGCATGAAAAAATGTACTTAGTTTTTGTGGGGTCAAAGTTACTCCAGCTTTTGCCAATTGACTTTCTGTCATGTATGAAATGTGTTCAATAAATATATTTGATAGATAGATATATACTTTATTGATCCCCTGTGAGAGAAATTCAGGTGTCCAGCAGCAGAGGTGTAGCCACTTGGTTTGCATTTTCTCTGCTCTAGTCCAAAGTGAAATGCTGAATGCTTTGTTAGCATTTATATTTCCTTCTTTCTATTCCTACAGAAGCATACATACAGTAATAATTGGAAGTGTTTTCTGTTGTGCAATAGGACTGGCCCTCTGTCACCCCCTGCAGGACACTCACTCAGCTCTGGAGAGCAGCTTCAGTGACACACTGTTCCACCCTTGATGTGTGACGGAGAGGGTCATTCCTTTCAGCTGCCGTCAGACTACAATGCTGTGCACTTGCTCCGATAATCCTCGTCACTTTGCCAGTCACTGTACCTGCATTATTGTCACTACATTACTACATATTCCATTCATCTGATTATTCTGTACTGATCATTTACTAGTCACTTTACCTGCTGCCATTATTACTATCCATCCATCCATTTTCTACCCTTTAATCCATTTCTGGGTCAGGGGGGTGGCAGTCAGAGATGCCACCCAAGTCTCACAGCACCAGCCCCTCACTGACCCTCTGCAGGTGGTGAGTCCACAGGAGGACGGCTGCTCTCTGAGTGTGAGCACAGCCTTGATCTTTCAGTGGGGGTTCTGAAAGATTAAGATTATTACTATTATTATTGTTTATTCTGGTCATATTTAGTACAACATTAACCTCTGTAAATACTTCATGATACTGCTCTCTCCAGAGTTTATCCTAATATTGTATTGTATTATTTAATATCTTAAATAATAGATCCTGTTTGATGTGTGCAACCTGAGTGCTCTTATTTCCTCCCTCTACTCTGCTGTAATGTGCAACGATGACAGTGACATTTCCCACTGAGGGATGAATAAAGGTTTATCTTAACATTGTTTATCCTGTACAGAAAACTATAGAACTGAAGCGGGGAAACTGAACAAACCCGGATTGATACTTGAGACCAATGTATTTTCTTAAACCTTACTTGACATGTTCATGAAAACAGAAACGTCACCTCATTTGTATTGTAAATATGAAGGACAACATTGCTTTCCATGTTTCGTCAAAGTCACAGCCTGTTTCTGACACCATTTTGGTATGAGCCGATCGAGTCAGTGAAGTAAGAAGAATAAGGGTCCGTGACTAAGTCCTGGGAATTATGATCTTTAAAATAATACTGCTTTGTGGTAAGTCTTGAACACCTTGTATGTATTTTGTATGATTGCAGTAAAGCTGAGATACCTAACTTTTGTACGTAAATGATGCATACGGTTTGTCGCAGAGTTTTGCAAAACTAAAATGTTGTGAACAAATGCGATCACAACATGCTTTATATTCTTAAAAAACTTTTGCAAACTTATTTTGTATGGACTGTTCTATACAAACACCCAGAGAGTCACTGTTTGACTCTTTAGACTTTCTTTTTCACTTGACTGTCTGAAAAAGCTGTTACAGAGACACATACAGAAATATTTGCTTGAGGTTTGATGGTATGGTACTGCTGCTTTAAAAGATGATTTTCATTCTCCAGGGGTCTACACGGGCACATGTGGACGTGAATACCATTTCGTGAAGCAGGAGTTGAGCTGGAGTGAGGCTCAGACCTTCTGCAGAGTGCACCACCAGGACCTGGCCACAATCACCGCCCTGGAGGAGGCTAGCACCCTCCACAGAGACCACAACTACACCGGACTGGCCTGGATCGGACTCCACGATGTCTGGAGATGGACTTCCACTGGAGAAACGCTTGGACACTACACCAACTGGAAAACAAGCGCACCACCTGATCCAAGTCCCTGCATCGCGATTGATTCTGCGGACGTGAAGTGGTTTGGCCATACCTGCTCTCATGAACACACGTTTTTGTGTTACACAGGTGGGATTTTGTCTTTCTTTGATTAGAATTTTTAGCCTGATTTGTGGTAAACAACAATCAATTACTTTAGTTAAAAACATTCCCACATGCCCATGACACACTTTTTTTGGTTTTTATCGTAACAGAGCAGAGGGATAATGATGAGGGGAAGTATGTGACTCTGGATGCATTGATATGATACTGGTAACGGACATCGAAGTATATATTTCATCAGATGTATATTGCATGTTCTCCTCGTGTATATGTACGTTTCCTCCTGGTGCTCCAGTTTCCCCTGCCACTAAAAACATGCATGATAGGTCTGAATGTAATGAGTGAGGGAATGGACGGTCTTGGTTGGGGCTTTGAGGCACCAGTGTGTCACTTTGTTCCGTCATCACCGTGTGAGGAGAGAATGGAGAAATACAGTGCCTTGCGAAAGTATTCGGTCCCCTTGAACCTTTCGCCACATTTCAGGCTTCAAACATAAAGATATAAAAATAAAAATAAATGTCCAGAATCAACAACAAGTGGGATACAATCGTGAAGTGGAACGAAATTTATTGGATAATTTAAACTATTTTTTAAATAAAAAAAACTTAAAATTGCGGCGTGCAATATTATTCGGCCCCCTTGCGCTAATACTTTGTAGCGCCACCTTTTGCTGCAATTACAGCTGCAAGTCGCTTGGGGTATGTCTCTATCAGTTTTGCACATCGAGAGACTGGAATTCTTGCCCATTCTTCCTTAAAAAACAGCTCGAGCTCAGTGAGGTTAGATGGAGAGTGTTTGTGAACAGCAGTCTTCAGCTCTTTCCACAGATTCTCGATTGGATTCAGGTCTGGACTTTGACTTGGCCATTCTAACACCTGGATACGTCTATTTGTGAACCATTCCATTGTAGATTTGGCTTTATGTTTTGGATCATTGTCCTGTTGGAAGATAAATCTCCGTCCCAGTCTCAGGTCTTTTGCAGACTCCAACAGGTTTTCTTCCAGAATGGTCCTGTATTTGGCTCCATCCATCTTCCCATCAATTTTAGCCATCTTCCCTGTCCCTGCTGAAGAAAAGCAGGCCCAAACCATGATGCTGCCACCACCATGTTTGACAGTGGGGATGGTGTGTTCAGGGTGATGAGCTGTGTTGCTTTTACGCCAAACATATCGTTTTGCATTGAGGCCAAAAAGTTCGATTTTGGTTTCATCTGACCAGAGCACCTTCTTCCACATGTTTGGTGTGTCTCCCAGGTGGCTTGTGGCAAACTTTAAACCAGACTTTTTATGGATATCTTTGAGAAATGGCTTTCTTCTTGCCACTCTTCCATAAAGGCCAGATTTGTGCAGTGCACGACTGATGGACCTATGGACAGACTCTCTCACCTCAGCTGTAGTTATCTGCAGTTCATACAGAGTGATCATGGGCCTCTTGGCTGCATCTCTGATCAGTCTTCTCCTTGTTTGAGATGAAAGTTTGGAGGGACGGCCGGGTCTTGGTAGATTTGCAGTGGTCTGATACTCTTTCCATTTCAATATAATTGCTTGCACAGTGCTCCTTGAGATGTTTAAAGCTTGGGAAATCTTTTTGTATCCAAATCCGGCTTTAAACTTCTCCACAACAGTATCTCTGACCTGCCTGGTGTGTTCCTTTGTCTTCATGGTTCTCTCTGCACTTTAAACAGAACCCTGAGACTATCAAAGAGCAGGTGCATTTATACGGAGACTTGATTACACACAGGTGCATTCTATTTATCATCATCAGTCATTTAGGACAACATTGGATCATTCAAAGATCCTCACTGAACTTCTGGAGTGAGTTTGCTGCACTGAAAGTAAAGGGGCCGAATAATATTGCACGCCCCAATGTTCAGTTTTTTATGTAAAAAAAGTTTAAATTATCCAATAAATTTTGTTCCACTTCACGATTGTGTCCCACTTGTTGATTCATGACAAAACATTTACATTTTATATCTTTATGTTTGAAGCCTGAAATGTGGCGAAATGTTGAAAGGTTTAAGGGGGCCGAATACTTTCGCAAGGCACTGTATCTGAACTCTGAACATTGTAAAGCAAGTTGGGTGACCCTGGTCTGTAAAAGTATGCGACATAAATAAAGATCACTACTTACTTCTCTGAGGAATATACAGCATTTTTAAATTCCTCAATAACAGATCAGAGAATCAAACAGTTCGAACACAGAAATGTAATAATAACAAACACAAAAGGAGCCATTGGTCCAAAGGGAGCAGAATGAACACTGTCCTACAGTACAATGGCTGAGTGGTTAGCACTCCCTCTTCTCAGCAAGATAGTCCTGGGTTCACATCCCCGTCAGAACAGGGTCTTTCTGAGTGGAGTTTGCATGTGTGTAGGTTTCCTTCGGGTCCCCTGATAGACGCCATAGTGGCATCTGCTGGAAGGGTCAAATGCAGAAAGCTTAGTGTATAGTCGCGCGGAGCTTACGGTGGTGACGTGATGCCACTTTCGTAATGCGTGGATCACCGCAAGGTCCCCACCGCAAGGCCACCTGCCGCGCACCCTCGAAAATTTCTAACTACGCAAGGGTCGCCGCAGAGAAGCTAAGCTGTGATTGGTCTGTGTGTGATTACTTTCTGGGAAGCGGCTGCAGGGAACATGGACGAGGCACTTCGGAGCAGACTGCTTCGCGCTTTGAAGGAACCGAAGGAAAAATAGTTTGGGTTCATGGCAGAGCCTTTATTATATCATAGTTAAATGAGTTGAAACGATGAGTCCATAGAACTATCACATAAACCTACAGTAGAAACACTGTAGGTGTAAGCAGCGTATATGGGACCGCTTTGGTTTCTCAGGCAACTCCTGTGAGATCGCCATAACGTGGTTGGTTGTGGGATTACAACATTCTTTTCAAAACGCTGCAAGGGGAACGCGTGAGTGTACCACCAACTATGGCTGCGTAGGTCCAACGTAACCACAAACGTAACCAGCGCCGCGCGAGTGTACACAGGTTAAATGCCTCGGATCATCACTGTTCTGACATTCCATGACAACACTTCAAGATGATGATAGATGAGAAAAGGAAGGCTGCTTTCAAATGTCTGAACGGATGAGTTGTCAGCGGAGTACGTAGTCAAAAAGGCCAAGATCATTTGGAATGCAAATTCAACTCAAACTCTTGATTTCCCTGTTTGAATTTGCATGGATAAGCTTTGTGGCAGTTTATGTTCTCATTTAATCCTGGCTAGGGTTCCTAAAAATAAAACCATAAAAAAGATAAAGAGAACCTTTGTTCATCCCAGAGTGGGGAAGTTTTAACATGCATGTGTTTTTGACTTCGTTCACGTCATCAGATCAAACAGAAATGTGAATAAAGAGGCTCAACCTGCTCAAGCCAAATAGTGATTTACAGATTAAAAATTGTAAGAAGAAAGGTTCAGGAGACAAGGGGCAATAAAAAACCCACCAAGATTAACCTTGGATAAAACTAAAGGTTCTATGACAGCTTTAAAGGGACATTTCCTGGGTAGTGTCAAAAATGATTTGACTGACGTGTTCAGAATTTGGTACAGAAATAAGGCCAAGATTTCAAGAGTTACAATAGTACATTTATTTCTCTTTACAATTAAAATGTTGATACAGAACTCCTGGAGCTATTCCCTAAATCTATCCCTGTGCTCCAACTCTCCACAATGTGTCCTCCCAACGGTTTTATCAGAATGTCCGATGACGTCACATGGTCTGAGGCTGGTCCCAGTCTGGGCCAGTCCAGTTTTGTGTCTCAGGCCCTCTCTCCGATAAGAGACACGCTGTTCCTGAAAACGATACTTTTATCACAGAAGCCTTGTCCTTGGTGCTTGTCTGAATTCCACTAAATCCAGGCTTTGATATTGCACAAAGACATGTTTGCAAACACCTACTGGAAATCATTAGTATACAACATTATAATTCTACAACAGTAGCCCGGGTGAATTTAGTCTGCAGTATTGTAGGTGGACCACCACCTTCCCGAGGCCCATTTTAAGAAGGCAATACCCTATCCAGAAAGTGTTATTTACCCTTCATACTTGTCAGCTGTGTAGGGTAGTTGCGCAAGGTCCTGGTGCAATCTGCGCATTGCATAATGGGCATCTCCGGGGCACGCGGCTCTATCTGGAACAATCTTCCTGAAAATGTGAGACAGGCCTCCTCTCTGACTACGTTTTAATCCAGGTTAAAACAGTTCTGTTTAGCTGTGCATAGAACTGAGGGATTTTATTTTTTACTTTCTTTTTAATGTCCTTTATTTTATTTATGATTTTAGTGCTATCTTATTTTGTTCAGCACTTTGAGTTGTCTTATGCTATACAAATAAATTTGCCTTTCCTGTTTTAATGTGCAAAATCAATGCATAATAATTTCTAAAATGATGTGTCTTTATTTACAGCGGGAACCCCAAAGCGGTACCATTTCATTGAAACGACAAAAACTTGGGACGATGCGGTGCTCTACTGCCGAAGCCACTACACAGACCTGGCGATGATTCAGAGCGGTTCTGAGAGCACCTCGGTGAGCTCTCTGCTGTCGTCCAAGAGTGAACCGTGCATTTGGATCGGCTTGCACAAAGAGTGGTCCGACGGCACCGGCCTGGGCTTCACAAACTGGGAAGACGACAGTGATGGTAACCAGTGCGCAGCAGAAGGACCGGATCATCGCTGGTTCTCCCAGGGCTGCGGACAAAGACTGCCTTTCTTCTGCCAGGGAGGTACTGACCGTGAAGCTAGTTTGGCAATGCTCCAGTGTCTACTAAATTCTATCATCAAAACTAGATTGTAGTTTTGAGAAATGTTCGATTCAATTCAAAGTGTTTATGTAAAGCACAACAGCAGGAGTTGAAAACTTGTTGATTCACAAACAGATCAGAGAATCAATTGGCTCAACCGCCAATGCTCTACCAAAGTCCTCTGAGTTTACTCCAACATGCTCAAGTATTAGCTTCAGAATACCAGCTTAAAAGTACTTGGTGATGGTCCGATCAGTGCTATATTCTGAATGTGTAACATATTGTACACATTGAGCAAAGGGATTCGTTTTTTTATGTTAGTTTCACATTTCAAGATGGACACATTTAGGATGTATTATTTAACATTTTTATACTGTGGAAATCCAATACATAAAACCTTCTCACTATTAATACTTCCTAATTGGTCTGACAGCCAGACACACATGTAAAGGCATTTGATTTTACACCAGACAATAGTAAGTTAGCAATATTATTGCATAGTTTCGACAGAGACAGAAAAGTAATTTACTTTTGTCTGGTATAGAAGAACAAAATCCCTTTCAATCTGCCAAGAGACCAGATAGTGCCACATCTGGCTCCAGAGCCATAGGTGCCTGACCTGTGCTGGATACAGTATAAGTTAGAGACTATTTAACAACACAAGTAGCAACTGCCCTGTGTGGGAATGAAGCCACGGACATAATGGAACAATAAAAGATAATACAGTGCCTTGCGAAAGTATTCGGCCCCCTTGAACCTTTCAACATTTTGCCACATTTCAGGCTTCAAACATAAAGATATAAAATTTTATTTTTTTTGTCATGAATCAACAGCAAGTGGGACACCATCGAACGAAATGTATTGGATAATTTAAACTTTAACAAATAAACTGAAAAGTGGGGCGTGCAATATTATTCGGCCCCTTTACTTTCAGTGCAGCAAACTCAGTCCAGAAGTTCAGTGAGGATCTTTGAATGATCCAATATTGTCCTAAATGACTGATGATTATAAATAGAATGCACCTGTGTGTAATCAAGTCTGCTTATAAATGCACCTGCTCTTTGATCAGGGTTCTGTTTAAAGCGCAGAGAACCATGAAGACAAAGTTCCCAAGCTTTAAACATCTCAAGGAGCACTGTGCAAGCAATTATATTGAAATGGAATGATCAGAGATGCAGCCAAGAGGCCCATGATCACTCTGGATGAACTGCAGATAACTACAGCTGAGGTGGGAGAGTCTGTCCATAGGACAACAATCAGTTGTGCACTGCACAAATCTGGCCTTTATGGAAGAGTGGCAAGAAGAAAGCCATTTCTCAAAGATATCCATAAAAAGTCTCGTTTAAAGTTTGCCACAAGCCACCTGGGAGACACCAAACATGTGGAAGAAGGTGCTCTGGTCAGATGAAACCAAAATCGAACTTTTTGGCCACAATGCAAAACGATATGTTTCGCGTAAAAGCAACACAGCTCATCCCCACTGTCAAACATGGTGGTGGCAGCATCATGCTTTGGGCCTGCTTTTCTTCAGCAGGGACAGGGAAGATGGCTAAAATTGATGGGAAGATGGATGGAGCCAAATACAGGACCATTCTGGAAGAAAACCTGTTGGAGTCTGCAAAAGACCTGAGACTGGGACGGAGATTTATCTTCCAACAGGACAATGATCCAAAACATAAAGCCAAATCTACAATGGAATGGTTCACAAATAGACGTATCCAGGTGTTAGAACGACCAAGTCAGAGTCCAGACCTGAATCCAATCGAGAATCTGTGGAAAGAGCTGAAGACTGCTGTTCACAAACACTCTCCATCCAACCTCACTGAGCTCGAGCTGTTTTGCAAGGAAGAATGGGCAAGAATTCCAGTCTCTCGATGTGCAAAACTGATACATACCCCAAGCGACTTGCAGCTGTAATTGCAGCAAAAGGTAGCGCTACAAAGTATTAGCGCAAGGGGGCCGAATAATATTGCACGCCCCACTTTTTGTTAAAAATGTTTTAATTATCCAATAAATTTTGTTCCACTTCGATTGTGCCCCACTTGTTGATTCTTGAAAAAAAAAAATATTTTTATATCTTTGTTTGAAGCCTGAAATGTGGCGAAATGTTGAAAGAATACTTTTGCAAGGTGAAACTTTGCAAACATAGAAAAATATGAGAAATAAACAGGATCTGGGATAAAATAGTAAGACAATAATATAACTGAAATACTAATTGTGCCGTGTTGTAAGACAAATCTCTGCTCATTTTGAACAGACAATAAAGATCTATTCTATTCTAAATCAGATAAAGCACATTTCTAATTCCTTTTCTTTTTACAACAGCAAGGATTAAGAAGTCTCTGCGTGTAAAGATGACGTTCGGCTCTTGTTTGGATTTGCTCGATGAAAGCAAGATGAAGATGATGTTACAACAGGCACGTCACAGATAGTCATGTTGTGTGATGTCACATAACAAATCCGTTCTTTTGAGTAGATGGAGGAAGCGCTCAGGCTGAAGGGCGTCACTAACGTCACAATATCCACAAGATCTGTGCGAGTGAAGACTATGGATCTCAACCTGCCGCCAAAGCCGACTGTGTCTGAGCACTGTCCTGTCTGGAACATGGGTCCTCAGCTCGGTCAGGAGCCGGAGGATTGTGGGAATAATAGTATCACTGGGGATCCAGATTGTTCCGGATTGTAATAATACAACTGTCTGAATTGTGTTACTCCCAACATTAAAGCTGTGGCAATGTCTATAAATTGGACTGAGGCAGAAATCTATAATCATTGACCTCTAGGTTTTAGTTTATCCAGACAGAAAGCTAGCAATCGTTTAAATCATTGGTCTCCAAACTTGTAGCTCCCCAAAGGATTCAGGAATTTAACAAATGACTCTGAATTATTCAACTTTGAGAAATTTCGAATTGATTTTTGTTGTAAATTTCCCATATGCGTACTGCTGTAGGGATACAAGTAATATAACAAGTGTTATATGCAGTTTTAGTTATTGCATAAACTACAGGTTTAATGACAGCAGGAATTCGCTCTGCTAATTTGTGTTCAGTAGAAGTCAATTGAATAAGGTTGGAGAATAACATTTCTTTGACAGTTGGTCTCAATAGAAAGTGTTGCATAATGAATCAATTTAAAATCACAACCAAGGTAATCTTTTGCTCGTTAGAACACTGCGTCACTGCTTTGGGCTGATTGGATGACTGAGGGAGGTCCATGATAGTGATAGAAGCAACCAATTGGAGCAAGAAGCAGAAAAGGTGGAACTAATAGATCTATGGCGCGCTCCAACGTGTGTATTGCGCGCCCTCTACACTTTATGCCAGAAAACACTGTAGTTGACGGCCAGTTGCTTTTGATGTACGCAGTTATTCCCGAGACTGGCTTGCTACTAGGAGTTTCCTGTTTGCCAGATTGTCGATGTGTGAGGGGCAGCGACGATGTACGCTAGGCAGCCGCCTTGCAACTTGTCTCCAGTTACTGTCGATGTACGCTAGGCTTAAGACAGATGAGTTTCAAGCACTTATCTGCGTATATTTCCTCCGGGTACTCCGGTTTCCCCTACCACTAAAAATATGTACAATAGTTCTGGCATGCGCCTCCTGTTCGGCGACCCCGCTCCCTTCTCTGTCTGGAGTGAGAGGACAATTGCCCAAAATAATAATTGTATACCGCTTTGTGACCCTTGTCTGTGAAAGGCGGTATATAAATAAACCTTACTACTTATCAGTACTCACAGGGCCAAGCATCCACATCTTTTTTTATGCGATTTTTTTTGTGTGGATACTAACGTTGCTACTAGACACTTGAGGCACCGAAGCAGAATGACTCCATCAACTTTCAAAGCCAGGACGTTCTATACAGCAAGTTTGCTTTCCACTATCTCTGGCTTTAAACTTTTATTGGTTTTAGTCGTGACTCAAAGCTTCATATCTCTGCCTTTAGTTTAGAGCTTGAAGCACAAGTTTCAGAAATTTAAGAAAAGGGAATCTTTTCTAAACTGAACAGAACATGTTAATTTCAGTAAACTTATTTGACGCTAAATACGACATAATGTGAATGTATGTGCGTTATGTGTATGTGCATTACTCCATAAAGCACGCCCAACAAACTTTTGAAAGATTAATAAAACTGGAAACAGGACGTTTTTGTATTTTTTTTTATTTTACAAATTTCCACAGCTCTGGAGACATCTTCAGTAATTTCTGGGGAAAAAAAAAAAATTATAAATGCACCCAGGCTCTCCTTTGTGGACGGTATGTTTCAGTGGCTTTGTGCCAATGCAGAAAATAAGCTTTACTTACTTTGCAATGACGCCATCATTTTTAGAAAGCCTCAAGATGGAATCGTCAGACTCTCCCTGAGGATGAAACACAGGTCACATGAGCTCAAGGGTTCATTCAAGCCATAAGGATCTTTTAGATGCTACATTTCCAACAACTAGTGTTCTTTTGGTTCCACAAAGGGTTCCCACAACAAGAACCAAAAGGTCCCAGAAAGCATATTTGATCCCTGTGCTTTCCTCAGGTCAAATTGACTCGCTAGAGATTAAAAAATAAAATACCTTAAGCTTCATGCTTAATTTCAATGATTTTCCCTAACTGGACCAGACTACCTTTAATCACAGTGGCAGGTCATTTAGTCTATAAAATGGAACAAGAGTTCTAGATCACACTACAGGGAACATTTGGAGCTCTAAATCTGGAGTTTGCATCAGTGAGTCCCGGAGCCCTGCAGTGCCACCCTCAGTTTAGACACGTTTACTTCCACTTTTACAAATCTTGGTATTTTGACTGATAATACAACCAGGGTTTAACGTCTACTGTATGTACAACCAGAGCAGGGAGACAATTTCCTTATGCAAATCTTGTGTCCTGCAGCCACACAACTAATCAATGCAACATAAATTAAATAATGAAATATCTTCGCCAGCTACAAAATGCAATAGTTTGAATCCACTTGAATTTAAAAAGTGAGATTAAAAATTACTACTATCTAGTTTTGGCTATGTTATTAATTGAGCTGCAAATGTTAAGTATTTTAGTATTGGAATATTACCATGACACTACGGTAGGTCGATTATACCAGTAACACGTTTCCAAGGACACTCCAAAGAGTCCTTTAAAGAGTCAACAGATTAGTCTTACCATTCTGCGGATGGCTCCACAGATGGCGTAGGTCTTGAACTGGCCATTGAAGCGACCGGTCACTTTGTCCAGCTGCAGAAGACATACGTATCAGCCATGTGTTGTAGCCATGGAAACAAATACCATTGATTTACAATGGGTACTAAAGATTAACACTAGGAGCGCCCCTAGCGGTCAACTGACCGTCACTCACTTTATTATGCTAATTAGTGTATTCAAAACAAAACGCCAGAAGTTGAAATTTTATGACTTTTACTAGGTACTTGTTTATATTTTGGTGTGTTTTGGTTTTGGAAAAAGTAAAGAAAACAAGATTTACACGTATTTTAACTTTTCTAAACCACAGCTCTTTCTGCTGCCCCATGGAGATACATGGCGCAAGGGCGACTGTTGTCATAGTAACCTTTCCCGGGGGTTTTTCGCGCCTTATAAAAATGTATCAATATGTTGTCATTAGACTCTAAAGGGACTTTTTTATTATTATGTCCCGTGTAAAATTGAAGATTTTACATTGACGATGGTAGCCTAGCTGATGATCTTGTGTCAATACGAATATTATTATTATCTAGATAATATTTCCCACTGTGATTTCGGCTGGAAAGAGCAAACAGTCTGGAGATGACGTAAGAAGTAGACGCATATAGCAGCGCGAAGACGTTATGGTCCCGTGCTTTTCTAAACTATAATTTATATTGTTTGAATTTACATATTGTTACCGAGTCAAATATAACATATAGTGACCGACCTTTTAGGTGTTTGCAAAGTTACAAAATAAATCTAGCCTGAAAAGTCATCGTAATTTTGATGGATCAGTTTACGCACAATGTGTCGTCTTAGTCTTTTATTTCGGCTAGAATTACAATTACTTAGCATATTTAGACAAATAATTTACAGTTTCATTATGATCACGATTCCTTTGCAACATCAAGTTCTGGTTTAGTGAACAATCAATTTGGCAAAAGGCTGTATCAGCGCAAAATACATAGCGGTCAACTGACCGCAGGGGGCGGTGCAAGGTATGTTTAGAGCGCGGCGGTCCTAGTGTTAAATATGATGCATTATTATTATGATCAATAATTACAATTGATAGTAGTAACATGAGTAAACAAAGGCTGTCCATTTGAAAGCCTGTAGTCACAGAACTTCGCAAGAGATACAGGGGAGTAGTTTGATGTGTTTTAAAAAGGGCAGTAAACTAAATGTGTTGGAGAGAACAGTGAAGGTGTTAGTGCCAGAAGTTCCACAGATCAATGTTTGTGTTAAAAAGGAAAAAATGTGGAGGATTCCTTTCTATCAATGAAAATATTATGTGCAAAGAAATCTGTCTATGCCACAATTTGACATAAATTCTTGTGCCTAGCTCCAATCACGAGTTGCTGGCTGTACATCAGTGGACCAGAGTTTATGTAGCAGTTACACAAGCCGGTTTCTAGTATTTTGGCAAATATAGAAGAGCTGCAAATGAGAAAAACTTTGACGTGATCTTTGCTTAGAAGATGTGAAAGACAGGAACAGCATAACACTAGACTGAAGACAGGATGGAAAACTAGATGGGACTTCTTGAAACATTTCCCTGAAGGAGACTTGTGATGTTTTGAATACTGCATTTCACCTCAGCGATGTTGATCTGGATGGAGGCGTGGTCTTTGGCTCCAATGATTCTGTTGCTCGCAGAGCTGCACAGAGGAAATACTCATCAAGACTGAACATAAAACACCTATCAGTCAACAGCTGTGGAGGGGAAAAACTTGAATTCAAAATAAATGAGGGTTGTCAGAAAACATGTGGCCTCAGCAGAGTCTAGTTTTACCCACATCAGCCAATTAAAACTTCAAGCCGTATGCTTTAAGAACTACCAGTTAATTTAATATTGGAAAAACAATTCAATTAATTCAGTGTAGCCTGAATCTTATGAAATTATCATTTCATCAACAATTCAGAATCAAACAGTCCCAGCACAGAAACAGGGAACTGGATAATTAATGTTCATAAATGTTTATGAAACTTAAGCCTGACTGTCTTCAAATCCGGATCCATAATTATACAGTCGTTCTGAGCAGTGAAGTTCACACCCTTTAGTGGTATTAAGATTAAGAGATCCTTTATTTTTCCCACAGTGGTGAAATTTCAGTGTTGCATCACAAGTTATAGAACAGTAAGAAAGAGGAGCACACAGCACAAGATAAGTGAATAGCTATACTAATTAAAATATTCTCTAACATCAACAACAACTAAAACCTCAAGCTTGAAAATAACATTGTATTACTAACAATTTAATATCTCAACTTCAGAACAACTACATTTTAAGGACAGTAAGTACTAAAACAGTTTGGTTAGGTTAATATGACTTGGGTCCAGACTGTTTAAGAGCATCCTCACTCGGCATAAGCGTTTGATCACTTAAGACTGCGTTTCAGCGGCGGGTCAATGGGACGTTTATCAAATCGGATCGTGTAGGATGCAAGAGGACAAAACACACATTGGTCATCACATTAACAAACAAGTACAACTTAGATCTTGCACTTACCATTTACGAGGGACGTACAAGTCCACGAATTCACCAGCGTCGTTCTGCATGTCTGTAGACTGAGGGTAGTCTGCGAACAGGAAAATACATCAAGATGACCACAACTATCGATGCATTTTCAGAAGAATGCGTCTGAACTGTACGTCACTGCATCCGAATAAAACTATGCCAACGCTAAAAACTCATTTAAAACAGGGTAAAATAAACACGGGTGATCATGAGAGATGCCGCGTTAGCATCTTAGCATTAGCAGCTAACATTCAGACCGCATGTGGCCCTGTGGACGGCACGGAGGCTGAGGCGTCAACTATCACAGCTTTATTTTAGCCGCAAACCCCAAATACACGCAGGTGACATCTTTACCTAAACATGAACCAACGTAAACATGAGATTCGATATCGTTTAATGGGTTATTTCTGGAATTTTAGCACGAGAACGCTGCGGATACTGACCGTATGCGACAAATGGCAGACAGGAAAGAGAGAGGACAGACCCGGAAGTAGCATATGTGTCGCCCTCTGCTGGACTACTTCTTCTTCTGTAATTTTATGGCGGGCTACGAATCAGCATTGACGTATGCCGCCACCTACTGTATCAGAGCGTAATACTCCATGCCTTTGGTACAATGTTACAGTCTATTTATGATTTTTGTTGAATTTAACAAATAAAATAGTGCCCTCCATGCCTTCTCTTGATTAAGCCCCTCTCCCAAAATACCCTCCATGCTCCACTCCCGCCCTGCTTCTATCACTGAGCCCTTAAAAGCATCCCTTTGCACACTGTACTTTTCACATTTCAACAGCACATGCTCAACTGTCTCACTTACATCACACATGTCACACTTATCTGTAGCAGACTTATTTATTCTAAACAATGTTGAGTTCAGTCCTGTATGTCCGAGCCTTAGGCGGGTAAGTGCTGTATCGTTTCTCCTGTGATAACTGGCAGGTGTTAATCTATAAGCTCTGACACTCTTTTTGATCCCGTACAAATGTCGTCCCTTAACATCATGGTCCCATATCTCCTGCCACACTGCAACAATGCTCTGATTTATTACTCTTTTTATCTCTGATCCTCCAAATGGAATTGCAATAATATTCTCCTCTCCTGGACTAGTGTCGACGCCGCCGCTTACAAACCAATTTACATTTCTGTATATGTCACATATTTTTACCTGTCAAAGTAACAAACACATCATATCAAGTACATGGGTTAAACAGATCCTTATTTTAATCCAACCTCTTATCTCACAACACACACACGCGCGCGCACGCACACGCACACGCACACACACTGTAAGAGTGAAAGATTAATTCAACCTCCAAAACTTTCGTTGTCGAGTTTGTATGTTCTCCCTGTGTCTGTGTAGTTTTCCTCCAGGTGCTCTATTTTCCCTTACCACAACAAATATCTAACATAGTTCAACTTTCTCACTTTTTCCCCACTGGCGTTTTTTGTTTTGTTTTTCCTTGCCGATGCAGGAGGGTCTTGTTGGACATTTAGTGTCCAACAAAAAGGATGTGGTGATGATCCAGGACACTTTAACATTCTACAACATGTAAAGACATTTTTTTTCAACATGTGTTCTATATTATTTTTGTGTTTTAACTGTGGATTCTCTGATCTGTGTTAGTGATTTCAATGGTTTTGTTAAGTCCTCTGAGTGATTTAGCGCTACACAAGAATAAATTGTATTGTATTGTATTGTATTCCCCATAACACCCTCCCCCAGACTCCTCTTTCTGGGGCCAGGCCTCCTAGGTAAAAGAGATGCCATCTCAGTGGGACTTTCCTGATTGACTAAAGATCAATAAATAAATAAAAATAGGAAGCTGCATATAAGATAATTTAAGAGAACCTTTATTCGTTCCTGGGGTGACAGTATAGCTCAGTTGGTAGAGCACTGGCCATTGAGCCTGAAGGTCGTGGGTTCGAGCCCACCGTAAGACCTACTTCACAACTCCCACTGATGACTGCTGTCGTTGTGTCCTTAGGCAAGACACTTAATCCCACTTTGCCTGAAGCCCCCACTGAAAGATCTCAGCTTCTGTGGACTCACCACCTGCAGGAGGATCAGTGAGGGGCTGGTGCTCTGTGTACTGGGTGGCATCTCTGGCCACCCCCCCAACCCAGAAATGGATTAAGGGGAAGAAAATGGATGGATGGATTTATTCGTTCCACAGTGGGGACATTTTCATAGTGTAAATTATACACATATATTTGGCGGGATAATAAGTATATAACGTGACATTCAGTGGTTAATTTGAAATTGCAGTATTGTACATTGTATTGCAGTATTTGGTATTTACAGATGGATGACATGTACAGGCTCAGCAGTTCTCATTGTACAGTCTGACAGCAGCAGGAAAGAAAGATCTGTGGAACCTCCCCTTCACACATCGGCACATAGTTACGTACCAACACTGGTCTTACCACAACACAGCAACCAGTCAGTCTACACTACACACACATAGTAGATGAGAAGCAACCTGGACATATGAAAGGGCAGGAGGAACTGCTAAAATGAATACCATTTTCTCCAGTTCCTAAAGTAAACATGGTCACTGCGGCTCCTCTGTATGAACAGTCATATTCCACCTTTACATCTCCCAGCAATGCAAACATTAGCCACTTCCTGCAGACATGAGAGGATATTCTGTGCATTGTCCACAAGAGAAAAACACACACCTCTGCGTACAAATATATGTTTTTATTTACAAGCTTCATCTTTTACAGTGACTTTTATAATGCCAAGAAAAAAATGTTTATCAAACACTGTGAAACTTGACATGCATTTTCATTCACAGAGACATTGGTTTGTGAGTCATTAGTAAACCAGTTTTATTTTTACCTTAGTGGGTATTGATATACTTTACAAATGTGTTTAAATACTGTCTTTAATAAGTTTAAATTTACAAAATAAAAAGCTACATATTCACTATATACATGTTGAATGGTGTTAAGTCTTTTTAATGTACTGTACATTTCTAATACAATTTACACTTAAATAGAGTTAAGGCGGCATACATGTTTTCATTCAATTCTCTTACAATGCGCATATTTAGAGATACAATTATCAACACTTTGACGTCAGTAATGATATGTCTGTGGTCACTGCTGCTGGTAAAGGAGTCAAACATTGCAACAACAACAAAAACTAGGGAAAAGTGCATCCTTAACAAGTATAGAACAAAACTTTTTTGATGGAATATGCCCCAATTTATAAACATAGCCTAAAGGAATGGACTGACCGAGTTTTGTCGTCACTCATAGTGTTTGCCTTTTTGTGAATGAAGCTTATCTCATTTTGGGGTATTGTGGAGGCCCGGACCCTTTTTTACATGGTTCATTTTGAATTGAATTGGTAAAATAAATACTCTTTTTGTGACATCTACTTGTTTGTGGAGATGTTCAAGATATGTTTATTTGACGACCAAAAAATAAGTATAAATATGGAGCCAAGATATACAACGTTTTCTTGGTATTTATTGGAAGTTATTTTGAGCATTTTGATTCTTGCTTTTAATTGGATATGGGTTTTGATTTTTTCGTTTCTGCTGAGAAGGGTCCAGGGGCCGTATAAAACCGTTAATTCAAATCAATTCAATTCAATTTTTTCAGTCCTACATCGCTATAGCAGTTATCTCGAAGGACTTGACGAAGTTGTTGATTCGCCAACACAGATCAGAGAACCAAACAGTTCAAACACAGGAAATGCGATGGTAAAATAAAACATATACTGACCAAAAATAAGTAAAAATTGGCTCAGTTGTCTCTTAATGTATCTTAATTTGACAAGAAATGTCTCTCTTGGAATGAAAATTGGAAAATAAAGCAACTGTTGAAAATAAAGCAACAGTTGAAATAGGCTTAAATGGCTTTATCCCATTGGCAAATCAGTCAGAATGTACTCAAACTAAAATAAAAACCACTCGATTACATCAATAATTGCCTCATATTATACATGTTTTGTAGTGTAGAGCCTTTGGTCCAAACGTGGCAGATGACCAGTGCCCAGCTCACAGTCTCAGGTCTGATTTCTGTACAGATAATTCTACACTGGACACCAGCAGGAGAAATCACTAGGGTAATATCTGTGGCAAGGAGAAGCTATCCACTGTAAGCATTCAAGTTTTGGGTACTAAACTACAATTAGTATTTTGTATCATACTGATGCACGTTCCAAGCAAAGCAAAACAATCTCATATTGGTCACTGTAGCAGGACTCGGCTCCCATCAGGAAAGTCAACTTTTATAAATGATAAAGCAAAGTACCACGGAACATTTTGTACAGATCAAATCAAGTAGGTCAAGGAAAAAAAACATACAACATACATAGAAGTGCGCGCCTCCTTTGGGCGAAAGCTCGGAATCAAATCCCATTTGGCTCATAAAAGATACAAGTGCAAGCAAGTCAGATTCATATGTTATAACAGTGATTAAAATACATTTATGTGCAAAAACATCACTTTTAATATCACTCCAGTAAGTAATTTATTTTATCACATTAGCCAGACATTTACAACTCACCCAAACGTTTGTACAATGCGTTTTATTTTGCAGTGCCCCCTTCGAACACAAGGGGGAGACATATACACATGAAAGGTATTATACATAGCCCTCATGTCCCGTTGCCTGTCGTACTTGCGTTATCAGGACTTTGCTACGAGAAACCAAAAAATAAACCCACATATATTTATATATAGTTTGTACAAAAATATGTTATGAAAATATTTAAGTGGTGCCAAGTTTGGTTCAAGCCTGATGCGTATGAATGTGTTTCAAATATACACTTGTCCAACTTGTTAGGCCCGAGCCCCGAACGGGGTAAGGGCCTATTGCTTTCACAATGGTGAAAACAAATGGTGGCGGTGCGTGACGGACGCGTCAGCGCCCGTCACTCACCAAAATGTGACGGTTGCGTGCGTAAACTCAAAAGCTTTAAAATGATGTATCACGTGCCATTGAAACCTATATTGTTTTTGCTCGAGACGTTAACAAAAAAATTCCTTTTTTATTTATTTATTTATTTCTTTCTTTCTTTCTTTCTTTCTTTTTTCTTCTGCACTTTGAGCCTTAATTTGACCCCCTGAACATGCATGAAAAGTTGTTAATTTTGGCCCAAAAATCAGACCTGGCGAAAAATTTGATATTTTGGTGTTTATTTTTATGGGACTCAAAAAATGACAGAACAGCGCCACCTACAACAGCCAAAATAATACCCCTATGGGACTTTTCGGAGGTCAAGTTTGTCGTAGAAAAATGAGATTTGGTACACATGTTCCTCAAGTCAAGACAAGAAAAAAATATTATTATGGCCCCGCCCTCTGACAAACAGGAAGCCCATAAATTTCACTGCAAAATGGAAAAATGAACAGCAAAAGTTTTCATACATGTCGGTTGGAAAGCGACTCCTCCTCGGCCGTTTCACCGATTCGCCTCAAATTCGCTCCACATCATCTCAACACATGTACCTTCAAAATGACCTCAGGGATTTTTGATCAGTGAAACATTGTTTGAGCAGCGGAGCGGCAAAATGTGACCTTTTTTTGGCCGTTTTTGACAACATTAAATTTGCTCCCGTTTGAACAAACAAAGTCTGATTTGTACAAAACTTTAATACATTGTTGAACTCTAGGGTCTAGGTCATTTGAAAGTGAATTAATTCAAATTGACACATTAGCGCCCCCTACAGACTATTTCAAAGTTTTAGATGGGCATTTTCAAATTTAGTTTTTTCAAAATGTTTGAAATTTTGCACATAAATCTGTTTTGCCCTCTTGATTCAAAAAGTCAATTGGGTCCAAGGCTTATTTTTTACCCTGTTGCCGTGGCGACGAGAAACGCTCCCCATTCTTTGCAAATGTACACCTCACACAAACATCAAACCAGCCACGGCCGTTTCACCGATTTGCCTCAAAATCGCTCCACATCATCTCAACACATGACCATCAAAATGACTTCAGGGAATTTTGATCAGTGAAACGTTTTTCGAGCAGCAGAGCGCCAAAAAGTGGCGTATTTTTTTTCAGTTTTTGACGATAGAAAAATTGCTTCCGTTTGCACAAACAAAGTCTGATTTGCACAAAACTTGAATCCATGGATCAACTCTTGGGTCTAGGTCATTTGAAATTTAAAATTTAGAAATTGGCTCTATAGCGCCACCTACAACAGCCAATTTAAAAATGCCTCTGGGAGGAGTTTGAGGTCAAAATTGTCATAGAACCATGTAATTTGGAACACATGTTCCTCAAGTCAAGTCATGGAAAAAATGTAATTATGGCTAAGCCCTCTGACAAACAGGAAGCCCATAAATTTCATTGCAAAATGGAAAAATGAAAACCAATCATTTTCATACACGTCGGTTGGTAAGCGACTCTTCCTCCGCCGTTTCACCGATTGGCCTCAAAATTGTTCCAAATCATCTCAACACATTTACCTTCAAAATTACTTCAGGGAATTTTGATCAGTGAAACGTTGTTTGAGCAGCGGAGCAGCAAAATGTGAGGGTTTTTTTGCCGTTTTTGACAACATTAATTTTTTTCCCGTTTAGACAAACAAAGTCTGATTTGCATTAAACTTGAATCCATTGTTCAACTCCAGGGTTTAGGTCAGGTGAAAGTGAAATATTTGAAATTGGCCCATTAGCGCCCCCTACAGACTGAATCAAAGTTTACATGGGGAGCCAAACCAGCTCTACTTATCATAGTCATTACAATTTGACTAACAATCTTCTATGGCTACGGGAACAAATCATCACACGGCGGCGCCACCTCCTTTGAGCGGTGCTGCGTGGTACGGTGTGGTGCGGCGTAGTGCGGGGCGTTGTGGAGCGGCGCGTTGCGGCTTGGTGCGGGGCGGCGTGATGCGGGACGGCGTGGTGCGGGGTGGCTTGGCAAGGGGTGGTGCGCGCGTTGCGGGGGGTGCGCGCGGTGCGGGGAGTTGCGCGGTGCGGCGAGGGCCGTTCGACGCCGCTTGCGGCTTTAATTCAACTTTGTAATGGCTGGACAGAAAGTGCTTCTGTCTGCTACATGAAGAGGATTTGAAACCACAGAATTGATTTAAAACAATGTTGTAATAGAAACAAATCAGTGGACTTTCCTATTCAGTCCAACCAGGTCGCTCTGTGCTCTGCCCCCTCACTTAGACCACACATCAAGTTAACGATCAGCGGATGTTATTGCTGCTTTGAGTTACTAAAAAAAATGCAGAATCACCCGTGTATCACAGGTGCAGAACAGGCGCACAATGTAAAAACATGATTTTGAGTGTGTAAATGAGAAATGGAAAATAACATAAGTATAACAAGGCCAAAAGCTGTGATTTGAATTTCAATATCCAAATGAGATCCAGACATGTTTACAGCGTTTACAGCAAAGATTTATGAAATTCTTGTTTATGAAAAAAGTGAAGAAAAATAAGTCAAAAAATTGCTTACATTTGGCTAAATGTATCTTAATTTGAGCATACTTTGAGTGCCTTAACACAAGATTTGCAAATGGGACAAACAAAATTATTAGTTATATTAGATTTTAAAAGATAGAAGAAATGATTCCCTTTCGACTAATTGGCTTTGTCCCTTTGGCAAATCTTGTTTAAAGGGCAGTCAGAATGTGCTCATAATAAGATCAAAACCACTCGATTACAACAATGATTACCACATAATTGATTATTTTACAGTGTACTCTGTATAACCACACACAATAACACGACTTCTTCGAAAGTATTAATGGCTCCATGATTGAAGCTGTGGTTAAAAGCTGATATTGGCCCAACATTGATTTTCTGTCATGTAATTCATAGCTTAGCACTTTGTCACTACCTCGGCTATTCCGTTGTATCGATCGGTTTGAAAGCAAACAGATCAATGATGCTGTAAAGATGTGTATTTAATCCCACTGTCAGAGCAGACAGCCTTCAGGGAGCGGCTTACGTTTGTCCAAGGAAGTCCTGACTGGTTTGAAAAGAAAAGAGAAAAGAACGGGCACCATCTGTAAAACTTTCAAGACAGCATTGTTTTTGGTTTGGCCGAGATCCACCAACCCACTGGTGTTTGGGAGAGTTAGAGCGAATTGGCACAAAATAAGTTTGGTTCGTTTCAACACATTGGAAGTGATTGGAACTCTTCATGCCAGGTTTGGAACTGTTGGGGCATTTTCAGCAAAGTCAGACGGAGCCATCGGGTTCTCTGATTGTGCTAACTGTGTGTGTCACGTGTACAGACTGTAGATATTAACAGATGTAATGGCGCCTATTTCCTCTGTGGAAATGTATGTGTCACCAACGTGGACCTTTTCAAAATGGCCGTGAGCAGCCCATCTCGCTGGAAAAGGGTGAAAAAACGCTTTTGTGCATGCGTCAGCTGGCTCGAGCCTGACACATGGCTGAAAAAGTGCATTCATTCAAAAGTACACAGCGGATAAACTAGGCTGGTCCAACAAAAAATATTCCCCTCGCATCTGGAATTTAGTGTTAAGCCAAGAGCCGACTTTTGAACCACGCTGGAAAGCAGTTTTTGAGAGCAAAATATGTGCATTGGATGATTCTGTTTCCAAATACGCCACCACAGGCAAGGAAACATATTGTAAGCCTGTCAGCGTACTTGCTCATGGACCTTTTTGAGCCAGGACCCACCCCCACTGGTACAGGGAGGAAGAGGGAGGGTGGCCTGCAGTAACAGAGAGACATAGCTTTGTGAGTACTACTGCCCGTGTGAGTGTGTGGTGCTGAGCCAGTTGATAAAGACTGGAGCAGGGGTCTCCAACATTTTTCCATTGTAGAGCTACTTTATAAAAACAGAAAAGGCAGAGAGCTACTCTTTTTAGCAGTCGAAATAAAATAGTAATCTACAGTATGATATCTACAGCCAATCATGGAGAACACACATGCATAATTTATCATTATTCCATACAATCCCCCAGCAGTAAAGACAAGATTTATCGTTAAAATAGATGTAAGGATTCAAAAGTGAATCATTCAGGATCATGTGTTAAATTCTGGTATCCTCTGTGGAGCTACCTGAAAGGGAGTGGGGAGCTACTAGTTTCTTCTGAGCCACAGGTTGGAGACCCCTAGACTAGAGTATATTTTCTGTGTAGTTTATGCATTTTAATTATAATAAGAATTCCAAAAAAGTATTGGTTCCATGTAGCACTCATGACACTTAAAGACGCTTGAGAGAAAACCATAGGAAAATAAACATGTCACTTTGCACATTTTGGATTGACAAGCGCCTTTATGTGCAAGTCCAGTGCTTTGGAGGGCAGTGGGTATACTCCAGGTGCTACGAGAGTGAAGCAAACCCCGCGTCACGGCCCTCTGTCAGAGCATTACCACGCAACAGAGGTTACGGTTCGCACACTAGCAGGAGTTCCTGGACCGACATTAGCAAGCAGAGTGGTTTGAGTCTGGTTGGTGTATCTCGGCCACATAAAATAAACAAAGATATGTTAAGGCAAGAAAAGGCATTGACGTATTAGCTACAATAACACAATACATGCAAAAGAAAAAGACAAAATAATAAAAATCTGGTTGCTGGAGGTGGCAAAGGAAAATGAACAAACTTTAGGTACATTTATAAGAATATTTCACTTTTTTCCATGTGAATGAGGTTGTAATGGTATGTCTTCATATGTCTTATTCTGGGGAAAAAATCTGGAAAAAAACCTTGAAAATGTTTGAAATTATAATCATTGTCTACTGCAACTGAAAGGGAGGTTTGAGCAACATCTAGTCACTCTTATCCAATTCAAGATATCGATTTTACCATACATTTCAAAATGGACAAGAGAACTCTCAGTTCAATCGAAGAGACCTCTGTTTCCCTTGGGAATCACTGACTTGGAGTTAATTTTTTTTTCATTTGTGGAGTAGTGACAGCAACAAACAAGTGTCCGCTGGTCCATGAGTCACATAAGTCAGTCAATTCTTTTAAAATACATCTGTGACTGTTGCATTTGAGTCCAGTTAACCAGTATGAACCAGAACCTGTTTGAACCAGTGCACCCTCAAAGTGATTATGGTTGACAATATATAATGCCAAAAACAACATTATTTTTTGCGATACAAGCAAGGCAATTCCCGGCAGTACCATTGGAGTTCCTTTAGTCACCTGTAGATGGTGCTATTGTCAGCCACAGTTATGTCTCTTACAAAGGTGTCCAAAGTTCCAATCTTGAGGTTTGCCTACCCATGGCATGACGTTACCTTTAAAACTGGTCATTATTTTTTATCTTTTAAGGTGCACATATACTTTTTAAAGATTTCCACATTACCAAGAAAGCTCAGTTTTACCGCACTAAAACGTCTTTGCGGTGCTTACTGAACATCAACCCAAAGCGCCTTCAAGATCTACACTCTCTCGGTTCAAGGTCTGCATTCTAGCATCTTCTTAAAAGCCTTTCTAAAGCTGTCGTCCAAAAACGCATACAGGAACGGGTTGAGACAGGAGTTAGCGTAGCTTAGGCTTGTGATGAAGTAGGAAATCCCGATTAGCAGCGGCGTGGTTGGGAGATCTGTGGTCAGAGCGACTATGGTGCTGAGGTGAAAAGGCGTCCAGCAGAACAGACACACCGCCAAGACGATGAAAACCATGATGGTAACTTTCTTCTTGGCCTTGTCAAGGGCTTTAGCGTTACTATTTAGCCGCATGTTCCTCAGCTTGTACAACATCATGGTGTAGAGGATGCAGATGGTGGAAACCGGAATGGCAAACCCGAGAATTAGCGTGTAAATTCGGCTGGCTTTGAACCAGAGGTTCTCCGGACTGGGGAAGCTAAGCACGCAACTTTTTCTATCGTCATTGGGGCTGTATACACTAGCGAAAACGGTAAAAGGCATCACAATTAGGATCACAAGAACCCAGACGCACAGAGAGATGATTTTTGCCGCTCGATAAGTGCGGTACGGCATCCGCTTGGACCTCACCGTGCATAAGACAACCAAATAACGATCTATACTCATAACTGTGAGGAAGTAAATGCTGGAGAAGATGTTATAATGATCAATACTGAGGATGATTTTGCAAAGAACTTCCCCGAATGGCCAGTAACGAAGTAAATGCTCCGCGATGTTGATCGGCAAAACCAGCGTGAACAAATCGTCCGCGATGGCGAGGTTTAAAATGAACATATTGGTGACAGTCTTCATCTTTGGGGCTTTGAGGATCATGTATATTACTGCAGTGTTGCCGGTTAGTCCCACAGCGCAGATCACAGAGTAGATTATGGGCAAAATTATGTAAAGATCGGCGTAAAAGTAGAGCTCAGAGGAAGGGGTGCAGTTTGGGTTGGATGTGTAGTCCGACTCGTTGCAAACCAGCAGACCATTGGCGAGCATTGTGAGGTTATCCATGTTTGGAGATGGGCTCAGGGTTCATTCAGGTTGAACGACAAACTATGTCCACAGTTTCATTGAGAAAAGTTTACAACTCACTGCTTAAAGTACGGCTTGAAAAAGTTTCTTCCAAACCAGGTTAAATTGATCGGCAATGTCTTCTCACAGTCTTCTCACCCAAGTATTCAAATGTTCTTCTGATAAGCATGGACCATTCAGAGCACATGTGAGAAACGATGATAAAGTCCATTCACGACAGAAAGAATTATGGGTAATTGTGTTATTAAGTTGCATCTCCAGTTGACTCACCAGCTGGCAGTGCAATTATATCTAAATCAGGAAGCCATAATCCTTTTACCGTCTTTCCATGATGCAGCTTCTATAAGTTTTCACCAATTCTTTCTTGATTTTACCGTCGCACATTTGTCTCTTTCCATCTCCTCTTCGTCTGGTTAAGTCCACCGTCCTCTTCCTAAAGGCAGCAGAAGGTCGACAGATGTCACGGATGAATTCTCGATGGCTTTGGAAACTGTGACCAGAGGACAAGACCGTCGTTACGCACGGACAACGCATCACAAAATCTGTAAACAGGCAAAAACACACATGCAGTCACTCAGGCCCACACACACACACACACCAACGCCCGCACACACACACACAAGAAAGTGCGAATGCAAGGATGAAGAGAGAGCTGGGAAAGAGACGTGTAAAAGTTGGAAGTCATTATAGAGAAATCATCCTACTTTATATTTATGCCCTTTATATTTGTGACCAGAATTTTTCTTTTAGAAAGATAGACAAAAAAACTAAAATCTTAACAACTTTTCTATAGGAGGGACCACATAATTCAAAATTCAAAATTTGTCCCTAATGAGCCCCATTTAAAACCTCTATCTATGATTCAACATGATAACACAGTAATACATCCAACTTCTCTTATAAAAAAAACACAAAATCCAAAACTTCCATCTATATATTGCAGAAAATCAGGGGACTTACAAGTCATATGTGCAGAAAGAGGTGAGGCAACCCGATCTAAGGATTTTAATATTAGCGCAGAAACCCCCCCCTCACATATAGCACCTTTTAGTACAGAATTTCATGCCGAACATTTTAAGTTATCGAATGACTTAAGGTTACTTTAAAACCTGTTGAATGGATACAATGAAGGATTGAGAAATTATTATTTTTTTCCCAATTGGACCATTTCATATCCTCTTAAATGTTAATGCTGCGAAAGATATGAGAAAATTCTCCAGACATTAAAATCATAAACTTAAAAACTAGACAGATAGTTTCGAATCAATCAGGCTTAATGAAAGACAAGAGTGAGGATAGAGAAATAAGTAGAAAAGTAGTTTTAATTTTTTCAATTTCCACTTACATTTTAAAGCTGAAAATTGAAGTAACACACAATTTACCAAACATGGAAAAATAAAAAAATCAGGCAAGAACAAATCCCTTCCAATCCAAACAACAGGTGAAATGGTGAATGAATGAGCTGTTTACCCAAGGGCTGTGGTGTGGTCCACTGCTCCCGCTCCACTGAAGACTGCGCTCCCAGAGACACGGCTCTTCTTACCCCTCTCGCTCTCGCTCTCTCTCTCTCTCTCTTCCTCCCTCCCTGTCTCCCCCCCCTCTCTCTCCTCCCCTCTCTCGGAGTGTGACCCCCTCCCATCACATACTTCTCACTCAGCGCACCGCAAAGGTCGCACAGTCGATGAGTACATTATCAGCATCATGCATTTTTAACCAGATGCTATAGTGCAGGACTCACCGTTCTGTGATTGAGCGGAGAGATTTATGTACTTATCAAATAACGTTATGAGGATACTGGAAAGTGGAGGGAGAGAGACGGTATAGGCTGGAGGGACGGAGATGGCAGCAAATTCAAAACGATTTTAGCACTATTACACACGTGGTAGTAATATTATTTTTTTCCAATGTACAGGTGAAATTCGGACAATAACAATCATGTCCATTTACTTCTGCAATTTAACTTACGATGTGAAACTCTGTCGGGATTTATAATAACAACAATAATGATAATGCATCAGTTTTGTTTAGTGCCTTTCAGGACACTCAAAGACGCTCCACATGGCAATATTCTTTCACTCCATTCACTCCTACTGTAGCCACACCTGCCCTGGAGCACACTGACAGAAGCGAGGCTACCAGTATGTTTCAACAGTATATAAAAAAAAAACATGAGACACCATATATTATCTCAGAGGACTTTACTATGGAGCTATTATTGTTTCAATAATATTTGTGTGTGCGTAAAAAGATTTGTGCGTGCGTAATTAGGGACGTAGCACCATGACGTAGAATTAATAGTTACTTAATGTAACTTAAGTTCTACGAATAGGTGCGTAGTCCCTTAGGACTTCGCTAGTGGGATATCACTCGTGACCCCCAGGTCACGCGCCAGAGAGATCAAATAATTTGCTCCAATCACCAGCCACCTTCCTCTATAAATGCCCCTGCACAAGGCCGCACCCCCTCTTGAACTCTGCCAAGCCGGGCTGGCCTGATGGGCTCGTAGCTAAGGGACTACGCACCTATTCGTAGAACTTAAGTTACATTAAGTAACTATTAATTCTACGTCATGGTGCTACGTCCCTTAGGACTTCGCTAGTGGGACACAACGCGGAGGCCGTAGGAAAATGTACTCCCAGCAGGCCAGCGAAGGGTGATTGGAGCTCCGCCCGAGTAAGACCCTCACAACGTGAGGACTCAGGGCAGAAGAACAAACGTGTTACGGGGCCACTCCTACCAAGGATACCCCCACGCAACACAAGCCGTAGGTCATACGTAGTCACAGGACGCCTCTCCCAAGAGCTCCTGACGAGGACTACCAGACCGACCACACACACAATGTACCGCACCTGTAGGATGCCTCTCCCAAGAGCTCCTGCACCAGGGCGGAAATTAGACCGAAGGCCCCCCCTAAGGGGAGGGACCCAACGGTCTAACTCAATCCGCTGCACTCAGCACGGAATGGGCCACCGACCGGTCCGACACATCCGAAAGATAAGACCGGACGAAAGAGGAGGACGACGCCCAAGAAGCCGCACGGCAAACGTCCTCGACCGACGCCCCCCTGAGAAGGGCCGTAGAGGCCGCCATCCCACGCGTGGAATGCGACCTGAAACCCACCGGGGGGGCCAGGCCCTGCGTCTGATACGCCCGTCGCACCGCCGTGGCGACCCAATGCGCCAGCCGCTGAGCCGACAGCGGGGCGCCCCTGTTCTTGGGGCCCAGACACACAAACAGCTGATCACCCGACCTGAATGACGACGTCATGGCCAGGTAATGCCTCAGCATTCTGATAGGACACAGAAGGTGCTGCCGCTCCTCCTCGGGGGAGGCATGCGGCGGCGGGTGGAAAGCCCTAATCCTGATCACTCTCGACCTAAAGGCCGACGTGATGACCTTGGGGAGAAAAGCCGGATTGGGCCACAACTCCACCATGCCGTCGTCCTCTCCAAAGGACAGGCACGACGCATGGACGGAGAGCGCACACAAATCGCCCGCCCTTTTAGCAGACGCCAACGCCAGTAAGAGGGCCGTCTTAAAAGCGATACCACTCGGGACTCGCCTCCGCCGCCGGTTCAAATGGCGAACCCGACAGCCCCCTAAGGACCACCCTGAGGTCCCAAACCGGAGGCGTTCTCTGGAGCGGGGGCCTCCTCCTGCGCGCCCCCCGCAGAAAACGTTTAACCAACGGGTGAGAGCGGGCTGTGAACCCCCCGAACCCGTCGTGACCCGAAGTAATGGCTGCCGCAAACACCGCCAAGGTAGCGACAGCCCTCCCCTTGTCGAAAAGCTCCTGTAGGAATCCCAGGACCCCCTCCAGCGGGCAACACCTGGGATCCCAGCAACGGGAATCGCACCAGACACTGAATAGCCTCCACCTCGTGGCGTAGGCCCTCACGGTGGACGACGCCCTCGCTCCCTGAATGGTCTCCACCACCGCAGGGGGAAGACCCAGATCTACGAGGCTCCGCCTCTCAACCTCCAAACCCAGAGCCTGCGGCCGATTATCGGACGTGAAAACAGGGCTCCTGCCCCCTGGACTAGAGCCCCCGGCTCGTCCGGGAGGGCCCAGGGCTCCATCACCGCCATGCCCCTCAGGAAGGGGAACCACCGGGCATGCGGACTGTCCGGAGCCACCAGAATCACCGATCTCCTCTCCTGTTCGATCCTCCGCAGCAGGACCGGCAGGAGACGCACCGGTGGGAAAGCGTACAACAGGCCGCCTGGCCATGGGTAATGAGCCAGAGCGTCCACGCCTAAAGGCGGCTCGTCCGCGGCCCTTAAGGCGAACCAGGACGGGCACTGTGCGTTCTCTGCACTGGCGAAAAGGGTGACTACTGGACGGCCGAACCTCCGCCAGATCTCCGCAGCTACCCGTGGGGCCAGGCCCCACTCGTCCTGGAGTGGGCCCCCCCTGGACATTCTGTCGGCTCCCACGTTCCGGACCCCCGGGACGTGGCGCGCCCTGAGAGACAGGAGGTGAAGCGCCGCCCACAGCAGCGTCACCGTCGCCATGCGATGGAGAGCGGGGGACCTGGTGCCCCCCTGCCTGTTCAGATAGGAGACCACTGTGGTGTTGTCTGAGCGCACCATCACGTGTCTCCCCTGCAACTGAGGGGCAAAGTGCAGCAGTACTCTGTGCACTGCCTCCATCTCCAGCAGGTTGATGTGACGGGCTGAGTCCGACCAGCAGCCTCCTACAGAGCTCTGGCCGAGGACCCCGCCCCATCCTTCGAGCGACGCGTCCGTGAACACCTCGACGTGAGACACAGCGCAGGCCAGAGTCACTCCGTCCCGCAATAGACCCGGAGTGAGCCAGAACCTGATGTCCGATGCCGCCCCTTGGGGAACCCAGATCAGCCTCCCCCCGTCCCGGGAGGGGTGAAGCCTGAGGCGCGAGAACCACCTCTGAAAATTTCTCATGTGGAGCAGGCCTAGCCGCACCACAGCATGAGCCGCTGCCATCATTCCCAGCAGGG